CACAGCCTTGAGGGTGCTCACAGGGGTGACTGCAGGTAGCTCAGGGCTGCAGGGTCTGTGTGTGTCAGGATCTGTCCCTCCACCACGGACAGCAGCCTATGAGGTAGCCATGAGAAAAGCTGGTAGCAAGGATGCCCAGCTGGAACCAGGCCACTAAACAGTCCTGGCACCTCACACAAACACATGGAGACATCTCCGTTGTAATGTCCCCAGTCACCACACCCAGAGTGACATTCATGCCCAGAGCCTTGCCTGAGCTGCCCCAGAGAATGACACAGCCGGCCAGCTCAGTCGCTCAGACCAGTGCTGCTCCACAGGCTCTCCCTTGCTGCGCAGCCAGTACTCAGTTATGTCCCCACCAGACTGGTCCTTGGCAGGTGGCAGTGGTCCCCAGCCTTAGGTGTGGCTGGCCTGGGCCCGGCGGTGGGTTTGCAGGCAGGCCGTGGAGCAGAAGGAGAAGTCGAGGTAATGGAAGGGGATCTGTCCCAGCAGGGATTCTCCACAATGCCAGCAGCGGCTGCAGAAAAGACCAGAGCTGGCCCTGAGAAAAGGGGACACTTGCAAGAGGGTTAGAGGAGGGGATTCACTGGGCTGTGGCATGAGACACCAGCAGCATGAGGGAGCAGAGGCTCCTCTGATCCCACAGGGCTGATGTGCACACCCAGCAGCCTGGCCAGGACATACTCCCTGGAGGAGATGCTACATGTGAGTGTGGTGCGAGGGACATTGAGGCAGAATGAATACGGAGGAATTTGGTCCCATATGGGGTTGTAGAGCCCCTATCCAGAACAGCACAGGCAGTGCTGGCTACCAACGAGCCTGTGGAGTGGCAGAGGGAAGGGAACAGGGGCACAGAAGTGGCTGGAGGGGTGGCTTGCTGTAGATGTGGCTACAAGTGGACCAAGTCGTCCTTTGCAAAATATTTCAGGGGAGCAGGACAAGAGAGGGAGAAAGCTTTTACACAAGCACTACTGGGAATTGAGTGGACAGGAATAGACTGGAAATGAGAACTGGAGCGAGAAGGGCAGAGAACAGCTGTGCTGACATGTGGGAGTTTGTCTGCAGAGCCATGCTGCTGGGACTGTTACCTGATGTTGGTAAGAATTGTGCCGGTGTCCTGCAGCTGCGCAGCCAGCCTCCGCTCGGCAGCCAGTGCCCTCTGGGGAGCAGAAAGACAGCTCAGCCCCACCAGCACCTGCTGTGCCCAGACACCACATCAGCATTGCCCCAGCCAGGCTTGATCTCCTTCCCAATGCACAGCCTCACCTTCTCCCTGTCAGACAGGGCTGCAAACCGCTGCTTCTCTTCTTGCTCCTGCTCCCAGCGCTGCCGCTCCTCCCTCTGCGCTTGCTCCCGTTGTTTCCGCTGGGCTTTCTGTGCCCGCTTCTTCTCCAGCTTCTTGGCCTCCATCTCCTGTGTCAGGGGCCCTGGCACCTGGGGGCAGAAGGCAGGCAACATCCCCCACTAAGCTGGGGCAACGGCATAAGTGGGCAAGGAGCACTATGCTCTAGGGTCTCCCAGCCCCCAGAAGGCAAGGGCAGGCACCCACCTTGGCATGGCTGTAGTCATACTTGTCTGGATGGTCCACCATGAACTTGCGGAAGGCATTGCGGGTCACCCTATTGGCAGAGATGCAGTATGGAGTTCTCTCCTGCCTGTCCCTGCAAGACAAGGGAGATCAGCTCACCCTGCCATCTTACTGCCTGTGTCCCACTGGGCTGTGAGCCCAGCAACTCCCCAGAGATGTACTGCAGGCCACAGTATCACAGTCAAAGAGGGGAAAGTTGCTTATCCCTGTATCAGAATCCTCCAAATCCTTCCCTTCTTGCATCTCAAAGTCCCTGCATGGGGCTTTGTTCTCATCCCTACCCTTGGAACTGTCTACCAATAAACCTGGATGTGCTTTGGGGTAGTGTCCACCTGCTGCTGTGCCAGACCAGGCAGGCAGAGAGATGCGTGGTTCAGCTCTTAGGCCTCTCATATCAAACCCAGATGTCCTAGCTGGTAGAGAACAACCCCACCTGTCCCAGGACAAGTTTCCCATGACTGCCACAGGAGTGAGTTGCAGAGCTGTGGTTGTCAACTGCTGGGTGCCCTGCAGCCGTACCTGAGGGCAGGGTCTGCCCCTGCCTCCAGCAGCAGGCACACAGTCTCAGCCTTGCCTGCCTGTGCTGCCACATGAAGCAGGGTACAGCCACGATCATCCACGGGCTGGTTGAGCAGGGAGTGGGCCATATCCAGGGGCTGTGCAACCTCCCCATCCTCACTGTTCCCTGGCAGGCCCCCACTCTCTGTCACACCCAGGAGGTGCCGCAGTGTCTGCACATCCCCTGTTTTGCAGGCGGTGAACAGGGCATCGAGGAGCTGGGTCTGAGGGTCTCCTGTGAGGGAAAAAGAGGAGGGGAGTCTAATGCCTTCTTGGGCAGAGCAGTGCTTTGGTCTAACTAGGAAAACACAGTGCAGTTAAAGCATCATCCTGTTAGCTGGATTTGAGCACTGCAGGATCTCCAGCACCTTACAAGTCTGTGACAATGTGCCATGGCATTGCTGGCACTGTTGGCAGCAGCCAAGCCCTCCCCTGTGATAAGACCCACCCCAATCCTCCCAACACATCTGACTTAGCCAGGTCCTGCCCACTCCCACTAGTTCAAAGCTACTGCTCCAAACACACAGCTCACTCAAAGGCACATGGCTGCACTACAGCCATCCCACACCCAGCTGTTCTGAGCATCTGCACAACAACATGCTTTTCACCCCACTGCAAAGCCACCAGCAAATGGGGCAGATATCTGCTTGGCCCAGCTTCCAGCCCTGCTTACCTCCATTACCCCAGGGAAGGGGCCCAGCCTCAGCCTCCCTCTGCAGCTCTGTCACCAGCTCCAAGCCAGGCTGCCCACATTGGGTACCATGGCATCCTGTCTCTTCGGCACGGGGCCCTGCACAGGGAACACATGAGGAGGAAGAGGGACAGGGTCAGTCTGCATCCCAGCCATGGCCTTGCTACACAATACCCCTGGCCAGTTCTTCCCTCTCACCTCTCTCCACCTGTTTGTCCCTCTTCTTCCTCCTTTTGCGGTTTCGCTTGGGCACCACTTCAAACTCACGAAGGTCTAAGGTCCCCAGTGTCACTTCCACAGTCTCCAGTTCTCCTGCAGAGCTTTCCTCCTCCTCCGGTGCTGAGGGGAATGATGAGACTGGGGCCGAGGCCCCACACACAACAAATCATTTGGGGCTCTCAGCCAAGCACACCCGGTCCTCCTGCCCAGCACAAGGGCACACTGCAGATCCCTGTGGGCTGCAAATCTGGCCCCATGCCATAACATCAGACCTCCCTGCTTGCTCAGTCATGTCTCCCTCCATGGCTCAACTCACCAGTTGAGTCTTCCTGTGGTGGATCCATCTCTGCTTTCTGCTGCCTCTTCTGCCAGACCTTCCGGGGGGACCCAGTGATGTCCTCGAGTGGCGTGCCCTGCTCTGGGCAGCAAGGGTGCTCCTGTCCCTGCCTGGGGACAGGGAGCACCCCATGTCTCTGGGGATTGAGGGCTGGAGAGCTAGTGCCTCCACCCCATAGGGCAGTCCCTAATGCACAACGGACCATGTCACCCCACCTGCTCTGACCCACAGGCACAAGGGCCAGTCCAACTCACCATATACCTGCAAGCTGGCCAGTGTGGCATGGACTCGCAGCACCTCTCTCAGGGTGGCCCTGCGGGTGCTGAGGGGGATGTGGCAAATGCGATAGTCCCCTCGAGTGAGGGGTGGGTTCTTGCCGCCAAAGAGCAGTGCACGGTTGTGACGTGGGGCCCGGAGAAAGATGCGCTGAGCTTCATTCAAGTGATGCACCCAGGCTGCCAGGAGGTCCTGAATATCCTGGGGAGGAAGGGGAAGCACTATGGGGTCCTGAACACACTTTGTGGGCAAAGGTAGCTCTAGAGCAGGGACAGACACAGGGTCAGAGCAGCTTTAATTATGTCCTGACCCTCTTCCAGAGCCCACATCCCGTCCATGCCCTCCAGCAACCTCTGTACCTCTGTGAGATACCACCATGCATCTCCCTGCTGAGAGCCCAGCACTGTGGGGATCCTCACCTTGAGCAGCACAGCCTCATTGTAACGCCGCAGGGAAGCTCCAGCTGACCTGGGTGCTGACCCTGGGGTCTGGGCATCCCTTAGGCCCTGGGCTGTGCCCCGCCGTGCTCGCACTGTGTAGCGGTGGAAGGTCTTGTGCTCCTGCATCTGGGGGCTGCAGAGAGGGGCAAGCATGTGCAACAGGGCTCAGGGTGTGTGGGATAAACATGCAAAATTAGCTCCAGTTGACCATGCCCAGAGGGTAACCCCAGCTATCCCCCTGTACTCACCCCCGGAACACAGCTCCTGCGAAGTGCCCACCGCCCATCATCAGCACGACCCAGCATGTATTCACACTGAGGCTCTGCAGTGACACTGTCAGCTTCACTGGCTCCTCAATGGCACCCTGATACACAGATACCCTTGCTAGCACCCATGGAATCACCTCCTTACCTCTTGCTGTCTCCTAGGACAGAGAGCAACCCCTCTGCTGGCACTAGAAGCAGGTTTCTGGGAGCACCCCAGAGCAGAAAAACAGGCCACCAACAAGTCTGGGGCTCTGACCTGGCACCCTTTCCCATCATGGGAAGTGAAAGACTGCCAGACAGATGACTACGTTGCAGTGCCACCCACACTCACTTGGGTCCCTCTCCCAAGAAGCTGGGCTGTGACTTGCCTTCCCAGTGACCAGCACGCAGCGGTATGCAGAGATGAGCTGGCCCTTTGCATTGCGGAACAACACCTTGTGGGAGCGGGGAATCTGGGGGGTCCTGGGGCTGTCACTGGCAGAGGGCTGCAACTCTGACTCACTGCTTGCATCAGAGCTCTCTGAATCAGATCCTGAGATGCTGGAAACATCACCTGCAAGGGAAAAAAACATGATGCAGTGAAATGAGGCAAAGATTAACCAACGGCCTCCCCAAAACTCTGCAGGTGACTCCAAAGGCAAGCCTACAACCCCAGAAACGTTCTGTTCAATACCTTATATCTCAAAAAGGGGCAGTGGGCTGGGGAGATAGGGCTTTGGGGCTCTGGCCTCCCAGGTATGCCTAGGCATGGGCTCGGTTAGAACACTCCCTTATCCCTATAACAAATCACCAAAGCTCAGGAGCAGTGCTAGGGCCCCAGAAGACCCTACAGGGGCAGAAAAAAGGGATCCTGAGCTAGCAGAGGGCTTCACAGCTGCACAGAAGAGCCCCAGCGAAGTCACTGACAGCCCCTGGGCTCCAATGCAGGCAGACCCACTCCTCACCTGTGCGGGTCTTCTCCTCAAATGCTTCTACAGGCAGTGTCTGGCGCCCCAGGAGTCGCTGCTTCAGGTTGAAGCGGTGCCAGTCAAGACGGTAATGCTCAGTCTGTGGAGCAAAGAGGTATGAGGCAGCAGGGTCTTGGTGGTCCATGGAAACCCCCACCCCCAAAAGGCATGCAGTTTCAGACCCTGAGGGCTAAATTGATGCTGACCTGCAGCACATTAAGGACTTACCCATGAAACAGTTAACCCGAACAGGTACAAGCCTATGTTACACTTATCTTTAACCTCTAGTAAATGGGGCTTTTAATTGATAACAAGCAAGGTCTGAATGCCAGATACCAATGTGACACGGGCAGCAGAGCTCTGGGAAACAACCAGCACTGGGCTGCACCTTGCTGGGACTGAGCTTCTGCAGCAGAAGCCCATCAGTCATGCCAGGCCCACTCCCACCTTACTCTGGCTGCTTGGCCCTGCACACCTGCTCCTCACGGCTGCCGAAAACCTGCCCGCAGGTCAAGCAGCACATCCTCTCTGGCACCTCAGGGACCCCACAGGCTTTATCCTCACAGCTGGTGGTTGCAGGTTTCTCTGGAAGAAGAAGCGACGGCTGTGCACAGGCAGATCTCCAGGCTGCACCGCAAGGAACAGAGCCTCCTGAGTCCCTCCTCAGGCACCCAAAGAGCCCTATGGCTGCAAAAGGAGCTTCAAGGACCTTGGGGTAACACTGAGAAATGCCCATTTACCACCCACCAGGCAGTGCCTATGGTCAAGGTCCAGGGTGACCATCCAAGCTGTGTTGGGGACAGAGCTCCTACTCCGTGGCTTGGAGCTGGCAGACAGGAGCTTGGACAATATATCTACCTCCTGCTGTCCCCGCAGAGCCCCACGTACCATGGCTCACTAGTGCCGGCTCGGCAGCACCTATGTCTGCAGCAGCTCCAGTGACGAGGGTCAGCCCGTGCAGGAGAACGGGGTCCTGGGCGGCCTCGAAAACAGACCTGCTCACCGGGGCAGGCATCACTCCTGCTCCCCGAGGGCAGGACAACGCCTGAGTGAGGGGCCTGGCGGGAGCCACCCACAGGTGACTGCAGAGACACCCACAGGCACACTGCTCTCCCTCTATCCGAGCCCTCCCTGCAGACAGGACCCTCCGAGGGTGCCCCACCGTGCAGTTAGTCCCCTGGGGCCGTTAACCCACAATCATCCC